ACTGGAGAGAAGAACATCATGACCTACCACACCACCATGACTGGAGAGAAGAACACCATGACCTACCACACCACCACAACTGGAGAGAAGAACATCATGACCTACCACACCACCATGACTGGAGAGAAGAACATCATGACCTACCACACCACCACAACTGGAGAGAAGAACATCATGACCTACCACACCACCATGACTGGAGAGAAGAACATCATAATCTACCACACCACCACAACTGGAGAGAAGAACCTCGTGACCTACCACACCACCATGACTGGAGAGAAGAACATCGTGACCTACCACACCACCATGACTGGAGAGAAGAACATCCTGACCTACCACACCATCATGACTGGAGAGAAGAACCTAGTGACCTACCACACCACCACAACTGGAGAGAAGAACATCATGACCTACCACACCACCACAACTGGAGAGAAGAACATCATGACCTACCACACCACCATGACTGGAGAGAAGAACATCATGACCTACCACACCACCATGACTGGAGAGAAGAACCTCGTGACTTACCACACCACCACAACTGGAGAGAAGAACATCATGACCTACCACACCACCATGACTGGAGAGAAGAACATCATGACCTACCACACCACCATGACTGGAGAGAAGAACATCATGACCTACCACACCACCATGACTGGAGAGAAGAACCTCGTGACCTACCACACCACCATGACTGGAGAGAAGAACATCATAATCTACCACACCACCATGACTGGAGAGAAGAACATCCTGACCTACCACACACAACCATGACTGGAGAGAAGAACCTCGTGACCTACCACACCACCACAACTGGAGAGAAGAACATCATGACCTACCACACCACCATGACTGGAGAGAAGAACACCATGACCTACCACACCACCACGACTGGAGAGAAGAACATCATAACCTACCACACCACCACAACTAGAGAGAAGAACATCATGACCTACCACACCACCATGACTGGAGAGAAGAACATCGTGACCTACCACACCACCACGACTGGAGAGAAGAACATCATAATCTACCACACCACCACAACTGGAGAGAAGAACCTCGTGACCTACCACACCACCATGACTGGAGAGAAGAACATCATTACCTACCACACCACCACGACTGGAGAGAAGAACATCATAACCTACCACACCACCACGACTGGAGAGAAGAACATCATAACCTACCACACCACCACGACTGGAGAGAAGAACCTCGTGATCTACCACACCACCAAGACTGGAGAGAAGAACATCATGACCTACCACACCACCGAGACTGGAGAGAAGAACATCATGACCTACCACACCACCAAGACTGGAGAGAAGAACATCATGACCTACCACACCACCATGAATGGAGAGAAGAACATCATGACCTACCACACCACCATGACTGGAGAGAAGAACCTCGTGACCTACCACACCACCATGACTGGAGAGAAGAACATCCTGACCTACCACACCACCACAACTGGAGAGAAGAACATCATGACCTACCACACCACCATGACTGGAGAGAAGAACACCATGACCTACCACACCACCACGACTGGAGAGAAGAACATCATAACCTACCACACCACCACGACTGGAGAGAAGAACATCATGACCTACCACACCACCATGACTGGAGAGAAGAACATCATGACCTACCACACCACCACGACTGGAGAGAAGAACATCATGACCTACCACACCCACCACGACTGGAGAGAAGAACATCATAACCTACCACACCACCACGACTGGAGAGAAGAACCTCGTGATCTACCACACCACCACGACTGGAGAGAAGAACATCATGACCTACCACACCACCAAGACTGGAGAGAAGAACATCATGACCTACCACACCACCATGACTGGAGAGAAGAATCTCATGACCTACCACACCACCATGACTGGAGAGAAGAATCTCATGACCTACCACACCACCATGACTGGAGAGAAGAACATCATGACCTACCACACACCACCATGACTGGAGAGAAGAACATCATGACCTACCACACACCACCATGACTGGAGAGAAGAATCTCATGACCTACCACACCAGTACACTTGCTCAGAGCTGATAAATGTGCCAATCATACGGTGGGCTCTGCCCTTCAATAATGACCTACCAGGAAAAAGCGGCTCCATGCAATTAGCTTCAGCTGGTCTAAGAATCCGTCCCTCTTGCAAAAAATGTTCCAGGATGATACTAAGCCGTGACTGGTTCAGAGTCTCCATGACAACAGAGCGGACAGCTCTGTAATTTGCATAAAGGTGGAGGGAGGTGAGGAAAAGAAAGAGAAGGTAGGTTACCCTTAAAATACAAAAAGAGAAAACAGACTTTGATCAGATACTAAAAATACGAAATCGTCATATCTGTGTGACAAGGAGGACAGGTTGTATGACATGACAAAGCCTCTACGCCCTATATAGTTCTGCAGACCAGTCCCCTCCGATCTGTCCTGCCTGATGTCCTCTCCGATCCTCCATACCTCTTCCCAGCCTAGTCCTACAGATCTGTCCTGCCTGATGTCCCCTCCGATCCTCCATACCTCTTCCCAGCCTAGTCCTACAGATCTGTCCTGCCTGATGTCCTCTCCGATCCTCCATACCTCTTCCCCTAGCCTAGTCCTACAGATCTGTCCTGCCTGATGTCCCCTCCGATCCTCCATACCTCTTCCCAGCCTAGTCCTACAGATCTGTCCTGTCTGATGTCCCCTCCGATCCTCCATACTCTTCCCAGCCTAGTCCTACAGATATGTCCTGTCTGATGTCCTCCTCCGATCCTCCATACCTCTTCCCAGCCTAGTCTACAGATCTGTCCTGCCTGATGTCCTCTCCGATCCTCCATACTTCTTCCCAGCCTAGTCCTACAGATCTGTCCTGTCTGATGTCCCTCCGATCCTCCATACTTTCCCAGCCTAGTCCTACAGATCTGTCCTGCCTGATGTCCCCTCTCGATCCTCCATACCTCTTCCCAGCCTAGTCCTACAGATCTGTCCTGCCTGATGTCCTCTCCGATCCTCCATACTTCTTCCCAGCCTAGTCCTACAGATCTGTCCTGTCTGATGTCCTCTCCGATCCTCCATACTTCTTCCCAGCCTAGTCCTACAGATCTGTCCTGTCTGATGTCCTCTCCGATCCTCCATACCTCTTCCCATCCTAGTCCCCTCCAGATCTGTCCTGCCTGATGTCCTCTGCGATCCTCCATATTTCTTCCCAGCCTAGTCCTACAGATCTGTCCTGTCTGATGTCCTCTCCGATCCTCCATACTTCTTCCCAGCCTAGTCCTACCGATCTGTCCTGCCTGATGTCCCCTCCGATCCTCCATACCTCTTCCCATCCTAGTCCCCTCCAGATCTGTCCTGTCTGATGTCCTCTCCGATCCTCCATACTTCTTCCCAGCCTAGTCCTACAGATCTGTCCTGTCCTGTCTGACGTCCTCTCCGATCCTCCATACCATCTTCCCAGCCTAGTCCTACAGATCTGTCCTGCCTGATGTCCTCTCCGATCCTCCATACTTCTTCCCAGCCTAGTCCTACAGATCTGTCCTGTCTGATGTCCCCTCCGATCCTCCATACCTCTTCCCAGCCTAGTCCTACAGATCTGTCCTGTCTGATGTCCCCTCCGATCCTCCATACTTCTTCCCAGCCTAGTCCTACAGATCTGTCCTGTCTGTCCTGATGTCCCCTCCGATCCTCCATACTTCTTCCCAGCCTAGTCCTACAGATCTGTCCTGCCTGATGTCCCCTCCGATCCTCCATATCTCTTCCTTCCATCCTAGTCCTACAGGTCTGTCCTGTCTGATGTCTCCTCTGGTCTTCCTTACATCTCATGGATCTCCTCCTCAGTCCCATGTGATGTCCCCTCTGATCCTCCTCCACTCTCTTCCCATCCTAGTCCTACAGATCTGTCCTGATGTCTCCTCTGATCCTCCACATCTCATAGCTCTTCTCAGTCCCATGTGATGTCCCTTTTGATCCTCCAATCCTAGTCCTACAGATCTGTCCTGATGTCTCCTCTGATCCTCCACATCTCATAGCTCTCCTCAGTCCCATGTGATGTGCCCTCTGATCCTCCAATCCTAGTCCTACAGATCTGTCCTGATGTCTCCTCTGATCCTCCACATCTCATAGCTCTCCTCAGTCCCACGTGATGTCCCCTTTGATCCTCCAACCCTAGTCCTACAGATCAGTCCTGATGTCTCCTCTGATCCTCCACATCTCATAGCTCTCCTCTGTCCCATGTGATGTCCCCTCTGATCCTCCAACCCTAGTCCTACAGATCTGTCCTGATGTCTCCTCTGATCCTCCACATCTCATAGCTCTCCTCAGTCCCACGTGATGTCCCCTTTGATCCTCCAACCCTAGTCCTACAGATCAGTCCTAATGTCTCCTCTACATCTCATAGCTCCCCTCAGTGATCCTCCACATCTCATAGCTCTCCTCAGTCCCATGTGATGTCCCCTCTGATCCTCCAACCCTAGTCCTACAGATCTGTCCTGATGTCTCCTCTGATCCTCCACATCTCATAGCTCTCCTCAGTCCCACGTGATGTCCCCTTGATCCTCCAACCCTAGTCCTACAGATCTGTCCTGATGTCTCCTCTGATCCTCCACATCTCATAGCTCTCCTCAGTCCCATGTGATGTCCCCTCTGATCCTCCAACCCTAGTCCTACAGATCTGTCCTGATGTCTCCTCTGATCCTCCACATCTCATAGCTCTTCCTCAGTCCCACGTGATGTCCCCTCTGATCCTGTACAAGTCTCAATACATAGTATAGAATGTCTTCTTGATCCTCCATCCTGCTTGTTCCCCCATCTTTCCCGACCTCTGATGATCCTCATTTGTTCCCTCTACTCCAGCTGACTTTCTCCCTGTTCGGTTACTCTTATTGATCGCCTTCTCTGCCCTTCTCACATCTGGAACATTCTCTTCCACACTTCGGTTTGTCATGTTTACAGACTATAGAAAAACATTTTCTGCACTTACCACAGATTTTCTGACACCATAGGGACAACCAGAAGGCTGATGAGTAACCCCGCGAGATTCACCAGCGTTTCCTGCATGAAGAATTCAGCATTAGAGAGACAGCCGAGAAAGCGATGTGTACACGTCAGGAACAGAGAACGAACCCTTCAAATGATTGGCTGAGGGATTGAGGGATGTAATGAGGGATGTAATGAGGTGCAACACACAGAACAGACAGGCAGCCCTACACTGGTAGACTGAGGAACCTTTTCATCCATCCATGACACCATCTTAAGGACTAGTCCCCGAAAAAACCCCAATAAGTATGAGCACATAGCCCACAATGTGAAGGACCTGAACAATGTCCCCCAATGACATCGATTATCCAGGCAACAGATGTCCACATCACAAAGTCCCCGAGAGCACCGGGGTTCAGCACTGACCTGGCTCCCGTCCTTGGCACAGACATCAGCCATGTTGTCTCTTCTGGCTTGGTGAGGTGAACTGTAAGAGCGGCACGTGTCGCCCCCCAGCAACCCCCACAATGCACTGCAAAAGAAAATACATCTTACATCAAAAGGCCAAGTCATATATGCAGCCAGATCTACGAAGACGAGACGAGGTCATCCTGTGCAAAGACCATCTTGTCCCATCACTACAGACCCAATCCAGTCCCATCCTCCTCCTCTGTACGACTTCCACCCAGCCTATCCTAGTCCCATCCTCCTCCTTGGTACGACTTCCACCCAGCCTATCCTAGTCCCATCCTTCCCTCTGTACGACTTCCACCCAGCCTATCCTAGTCCCATCCAGCTCTGTACCCAGACTTCCAGGTCCCATCCTCCTCCTCTGTACGACTTCCACCCAGCCTATCCTAGTCCCATCCTCCTCCTCTGTACGACCACCCAGCCTCCACCCAGCCTCTGTATCCTAGTCCCATCCTCCCATCCTTCTGTACGACTTCCACCCAGCCTATCCTAGTCCCATCCTTCTCTGTATGACTTCCACCCAGCCAATCCTAGTCCCATCCTCCTCCTCTGTACGACTTCCACCCAGCCTATCCTAGTCCCATCCTTCTCTGTATGACTTCCACCCAGCCTATCCTAGTCCCATCCTTCAATGTACGACTTCCACCCAGCCTATCCTAGTCCCATCCTTCCTCTGTACGACTTCCACCCAGCCTATCCTAGTCCCATCTACCTCCTCTGTACGACTTCCACCCAGCCTATCCTAGTCCCATCCTCCTCCTCTGTACGACTTCCACCCAGCCTATCCTAGTCCCATCTACCTCCTCTGTACGACTTCCACCCAGCCTATCCTAGTCCCATCCTCCTCCTCTCTGTACGTCTTCCACCCAGCCTATCCTAGTCCCATCCTTCTCTGTACGACTTCCACCCAGCCTATCCTAGTCCCATCCTCCTCCTCTGTACGACTTCCACCCAGCCTATCCTAGTCCCATCCTCCTCCTCTGTACGACTTCCACCCAGCCTATCCTAGTCCCATCCTCCTCCTCTGTACGACTTCCACCCAGCCTATCCTAGTCCCATCCTTCTCTGTACGACTTCCACCCAGCCCAATCCTAGTCCCATCCTTCTCCTCTGTACTACTTCCACCCAGCCTATCCTAGTCCCATCCTTCTCCTCTGTACGACTTCCACCCAGCCTATCCTAGTCCCATCCTTCTCCTCTGTACAACTTCCACCCAGTCTATCCTAGTCCCATCCTTCTCTGTAGGACTTCCACCCAGCCTATCCTAGTCCCATCCTTCTCCTCTGTACGACTTCCACCCAGCCTATCCTAGTCCCATCCTTCTCTGTAGGACTTCCACCCAGCCTATCCTAGTCCCATCCTTCTCTGTAGGACTTCCACCCAGCCTATCCTAGTCCCATCCTTCTCTGTACGACTTCCACTCAGCCTTCCTAGTCCCATCCTTCTCTGTACGACTTCCACTCAGCCTATCCTAGTCCCATCCTTCTCTGTACGACTTCCACCCAGCCTATCCTAGTCCCATCCTTCTCTGTATGACTTCCACTCAGCCTATCCTAGTCCCATCCTCCTCTCTCTGTACGACTTCCACTCAGCCTATCCTAGTCCCATCCTCCTCCTCTGTACGACTTCCACTCAGCCTATCCTAGTCCCATCCTCCTCCTCTGTACGACTTCCACTCAGCCTATCCTAGTCCCATCCTCCTCCTCTGTATGACTTCCACCCAGCCTATCCTAGTCCCATCCTTCAATGTATGACTTCCACTCAGCCTATCCTAGTCCCATCCTTCAATGTATGACTTCCACCCCCAGCCTATCCTAGTCCCATCCTTCTCTGTATGACTTCCACCCAGCCTATCCTAGTCCCATCCTTCTTCTCTGTATGACTTCCACCCAGCCTATCCTAGTCCCATCCTCCTCCTCTGTATGACTTCCACCACCAGCCTATCCTAGTCCCATCCTTCTCCTCTGTACGACTTCCACCCAGCCTATCCTAGTCCCATCCTCCTCCTCTGTATGACTTCCACCCAGCCTATCCTAGTCCCATCCTTCTTCTCTGTACGTCCTCCACCCAGCCTATCCTAGTCCCATCCTCCTCCTCTGTACGACTTCCACCCAGCCTATCCTAGTCCCATCCTTCAATGTATGACTTCCACCCAGCCTATCCTAGTCCCATCCTCCTCTGTACGACTTCCACCCAGCCTATCCTAGTCCCATCCTCCTCAGTACGACTTCCACCCAGCCTATCCTAGTCCCATCCTCCTCCTCTGTATGACTTCCACCCAGCCTATCCTAGTCCCATCCTCCTCACTACGACTTCCACCCAGCCTATCCTAGTCCCATCCTCCTCCTCACTACGACTTCCACCCAGCTATCCTTCACAGATCCTATATCTGCTCTATGTTCCTTTCCTGCACTGTCTCTGCAGAGCCTATATCTCCCCATCTACTTCTGTCCCTCGGAGTCTAGCCCTTCCCCACCTATCTCTGCACTCCTTCCGCAGAGCCTCACTCTGTCCATTGCCCCTCCCCCTGCACTCCTTCCGCAGAGCCTCACTCTGTCCATTGCCCCTCCCCCTGCACTCCTTCCGCAGAGCCTCACTCTGTCCATTGCCCCTCCCCCATGCACTCCTTCCGCAGAGCCTCACTCTGTCCATTGCCCCTCCCCCTGCACTTCTTCCGCAGAGCCTCACTCTGTCCATTGCCCCTCCCCCTGCACTTCCTCCGCAGAGCCTCACTCTGTCCATTGCCCATCCCCCTACACTCCCTCCGCAGAGCCTCTCTCTGTCCATTGCCCCTCCCCCTGCACTACTTCCACAGAGCCTCTCTGTCCACTGCCCCTCCCCCTGCACTCCCTCTGCAAAGCCTCTCTCTGTCCATTGCCCCTCCCCCTGCACTACCTCCGCAGAGTCTCTGTCCATTGCTCCTCCCCCTGCACTCCCTCCGCAGAGTCTCTGTCCATTGCCCCTCCCCCTGCACTCCCTCCGCAGAGTCTCTGTCCATTGCACCTCCCCCTGCACTACCTCCGCAGAGTCTGTCCATTGCCCCGCCCCCTGCACTACCTCTCCAAAGCCTTCTCAATTGCCCATCTACACCGTTGGCTCCTGACCTTGAAGAGTCCCAGCAGTGCACACCATCAGAGTGAAGCATGATGGGAAGACAGGAGCTACGATCTCCATGAAGATTGCCATATCATTCAACACATCAGCAAACAGCCTAAAGGAGGTGAGAAGTGAGGAGAATCAAACGGACAATGAAGACCAAGTGACCTGGAGGTCCCCAAACATGAGGTATGTAAGTGACCCAGCGGGTGTGGAGGTCCCCAAACATGAGGTATGTAAGTGACCCAGCGGGTGTGGAAGTCCCCAAACATGAGGTATGTAAGTGACCCAGCGGGTGTGGAGGTCCCCAAACATGAGGTATGTAAGTGACCCAGCGGGTGTGGAGGTCCCCAAACATGAGGTATGTACAGTGACCCAGCGGGTGTGGAGGTCCCCAAACATGAGGTATGTAAGTGACCCAGCGGGTGTGGAGGTCCCCAAACATGAGGTATGTAAGTGACCCAGCGAGTGTGGAGGTCCCCAAACATGAGGTATGTAAGTGACCCAGCGGGTGTGGAGGTCCCCAAACATGAGGTATGTAAGTGACCCAGCGGGTGTGGAGGTCCCCAAACATGAGGTATGTAAGTGACCCAGCGGGTGTGGAGGTCCCCAAACATGAGGTATGTAAGTGACCCAGCAGGTGTGGAGGTCCCCAAACATGAGGTATGTACAGTGACCCAGCGGGTGTGGAGGTCCCCAAACATGAGGTATGTAAGTGACCCAGCGGGTGTGGAGGTCCCCAAACATGAGGTATGTAAGTGACCCAGCGGGTGTGGAGGTCCCCAAACATGAGGTATGTACAGTGACCCAGCGGGTGTGGAGGTCCCCAAACATGAGGTATGTACAGTGACCCAGCGGGTGTGGAGGTCCCCAAACATGAGGTATGTACAGTGGGGATGGAAAGTTTGGGCCCCCCAGCTAAAAATGTGTATTAATGTGCATAAAGAAGCCAAGGAAAGATGGAAAAATCTCCAAAAGGCCTCAAATTACAGATTAGACATTCTTATAATATGTCAACAAAAGTTAGATTTTATTTCCATCATTTACACTTTCAAAATAACAGAAAACAATAAAATGGCGTCTGCAAAAGTTTGGGCCCCCTGCAGAATTTATAGCATGCACCGCCCCCTTTGCCAAGCTGAGACCTGCCAGTGTCATGGATTGTTCTCAATCATCGTCTGGGAAGACCAGGTGATGTCAATATCAAAGGTTTTAAATGCCCCGACTCATCTGACCTTGCCCCAACAATCAGCACCATGGCTTCTTCTAAGCAGTTGTCTAGAAAACTGAAACTGAAAATAGTTGACGCTCACAAAGCTGGAGAAGGCTATAAGAAGATAGCAAAGCGTTTTCAGATGTCAATATCCTCTGTTCGGAATGTCATTAAGAAATGGCAGTCATCAGGAACAGTGGAAGTTAAAGCAAGATCTGGAAGACCAAGAAAAATATCAGACAGAACAGCTCGCAGGATTGTGAGAAAAACAATTGAAAACCCACGTTTGACGGCACGATCCCTCCAGAACGATCTGGCAGACACTGGAGTTGTGGTCACTATTGCACTATAAAGAGATACTTGTACAAATATGGTCTTCATGGAAGAGTCATCAGAAGAAAACCTCTTCTACGTCCTCACCACAAAAATCATCATTTGAACTTTGCAAATGAACATATAGACAAGCCTGATGCATTTTGGAAACAAGTTCTGTGGAGCGATGAGGTTAAAATGGAACTTTTTGGCCGGAATGAGCAAAGGTACGTTTGGAGAAGAAGGGGCACAGAATTTAATGAAAAGAACCTCTGTCCAACTGTGAAGCATGGGGTTGGATCAATCATGCTTTGGGGTTGTGTTGCAGCCAGTGGCACAGGGAACATCTCACGAGTAGAAGGAAAAATGGATTCAATAAAATTTCAGCAAATTTTGGATGGTAACTTGATGCCATCTGTGAAAAAGCTGAAGTTAAAGAGAGGATGGCTTCTACAAATGGATAATGATCCTAAACACACCTGGAAATCCACGGGGGATTACATCAAGAGGCGTAAACTGAAGGTTTTGCCATGGCCTTCACAATCTCCTGACCTCAACATCATTGAAAATCTATGGATAGACCTTAGAAGAGCCGTGCGTGACAGACAGCCCAGAAATCTCAAAGAACTGGAAGACTTTTGTAAGGAAGAATGGGCAAAGATACCTCAAACAAGAACTGAAAGACTCTTGGCTGGCTACAAAAAGCGTTTACAAGCCGTGATACTTGCCAAAGGGGGCAGTACAAGATATTAACTCTGCAGGGGGCCCAAACTTTTGCAGACGCCATTTTTTTTGTTTTCTGTTATTTTGAAAGTGTAAATGATGGAAATAAAATCTAACTTTTGTTGACATATTATAAGAATGTCTAATCTGTAATTTGATGCCTTTTGGAGATTTTTCCATCTTTCCTTGGCTTCTTTATGCACATTAATACACATTTGTAGCTGGGGGCCCAAACTTTCCATCCCCACTGTAGTTGGGGGTCAGGAGAGCTCAGATTGGTAGAGTAGAGGGGAGGCTGGGGGGTGGAGGGAAGGTGGGGGGGGGGGGGGGGGGGGGGGGGGGGTGGAGTTCAGAGGACAAACGATTGGCAGGTGGAGAGTTTTATGCCCATTTGGCCATACTGGTAGGATTGGAGGAGGGGTGAAGGGGAGGCCGGGGAGAGGATTGGGGGAGGGGTGAAGGGGGGTTGGGGGAGGGGTGAAGGGGGGTCCGGGGAGAGGATTGGGGGAGGGGTGAAGGGGGGGCCAAAGAGAGGATTGGGGGAGGCCGGGGAGAGGATTGGGGGAGGGGTAAAGGTGGGGCTGGGGAGAGGATTGTGGGAGTGGTAAAGGGGGGGCTGGGGAGAGGATTGGGGGAGGCCGGGGAGAGGATTGGGGGAGGGGTGAAGGGGAGGCCGGGGAGAGGATTGGGGGAGGGGTGAAGGGGGGGCCGGGGAGAGGGGGATTGGGGGAGGCCGGGGAGAGGGGGAGGGGTGAAGGGGGGAGGGGTGAAGGGGAGGCCGGGGAGAGGATTGGGGGAGGGGTGTCTGTTCTCAGGGATCTTACCTCAGGATCTCTCCATCTCTTGGCGTCACAGTCCAGCTGACTCCTATTGGACAGAAAACAGCCGCCATGAATGTCAGGGAGGGGTTTCGGCAGTCCAGCTCCCTGATTGGCAGACAATGGTCCCACTGACTCACCACCATCATGGTACCAGAGATGACAGAATAGAAGCCGACACACCCCCACAATCCACACCAAAATGTCAGACCCCAAAACATTGCTGCCCCTCCCCCTTCACTGACAGACATCTCCCACCCCCGATGGTGACCACAGACGACTACTAATGGTGGATTGTGGATGTGTGGTCGGGACCTTCATACCCTTTAATCCATGCGAAGAGAATCCGTCCCACCATCCCGGTGCCGTCTGCAGAGAACAGAGATTGGTGATTGTTGGGGGATACAAGAAAAGGCAGACAAGGCAACAGTACGAGGCGAGCTCTGCACACCTTTCAGGATCCACGTGACTGTGGCAGCTGCGACGGTGGCTGAACTGTCCCCCACACCCGATCCACGCAGGAGGGAATGAGTAGCCAACGAACCAGTCACACTGCTAGCAAAGGCCTGGGAAGGAGAGAAAGATGAGATCAGGCAGAATGGAACCGAGGAGGGGGCTACCAACCGAGGAGGGGGGGCCGAGGAGAGGGGGCCACAAACCGAGGAGAGGGGGCGACCGAGGAGAGGGGGCCGCCGAGGAGAGGGGGCCACCGACCGAAGATGGACCGGACCGAGGAGAGGGGGCCACCGACCGAGGAGGGGGGAACCGAGGAGAGGGGGCCACAAACCGAGGAGAGGGGGCGACCAAGGAGAGGGGGCCACCGACCAAAGATGGACCGACCGAGGAGAGGGGGCAACCGAGGAGAGGGGGCCACCGACCGAAGATGGACCAACCGAGGAGAGGGGGCGACCGAGGAGAGGGGGCCACCGCCCGAAGATGGACCAACCGAGGAGAGGGGGGCGACCGAGGAGAGGGGGCCACCGCCCAAAGATGGACCAACCGAGGAGAGGGGGCGACCGAGGAGAGGGGGCCACCGCCCAAAGATGGACCGACCGAGGAGAGGGGGCCACCGACCGAAGATGGACCGACCGAGGAGAGGGGGCGACCAAGGAGAGGGGGCCACCGCCCGAAGATGGACCGACCAAGGAGAGGGGGCAACCGAGGAGAGGGGGCCACCGACCGAAGATGGACCGACCGAGGAGAGGGGGCCACCGCCCGAAGATGGACTGACCGAGGAGAGGGGGCGACCGAGGAGAGGGGGCCACCGCCCGAAGATGGACCGACCGAGGAGAGGGGGCGACCGAGGAGAGGGGGCCACCGACCGAAGATGGACCGACCGAGGAGAGGGGGGGTGACCAAGGAGAGGGGGCCACCGCCCGAAGATGGACCGACCGAGGAGAGGGGGCCACCGACCGAAGATGGACCGACCGAGGAGAGGGGGCCACCGACCGAAGATGGACCGACCGAGGAGAGGGGGCCACCGACCGAAGATGGACCGAGGAGAGGGGGGGGGGGTCAGCGGGGACAGACTGCCTCTCCTTTGCAGTATAAGTCAGATACACCACGACACCCCCCCTCCCCCCCACCAATCCCCCCCCACACACAGCTATACCTGCACAGTATCCCACAGCTGATAGGCCACGTAGTCGTCACTCACACTGTCTGGGAATCCGTGTGGAAGGAACAGAGACTGGAAGACAAACAGAGACAGAGATCCGTCCTGAGAGAGCCGGAACCCCCAAGTATCCGGAACCCTGACACGGAGCAACATACAATTCATGGAACCAATCACTGCTCAGCACCATGGACTACACCAACCCCTCCACCCACCCCACTGATAGCCTACTTCCCCCCAGCCCCAGGCCCCTCCCCCTATTCCATGCAGTGACCCCAATACTCTTTGTGCCCCGCCCCTCCCCCCCACTATACATTGTAGAATGTAACAGGCAATCCGCACCCATGTTCCTCCTCCACACGTCTGCATTGCTCACTGCTACACATGTAGTAAGCGTGTTCTGTGCGCCCATCCGGACTGGACTCAACAATGCTGATCTACACATGGATGTCTGAGGGGCCAAAAAGTGCCCCCCCCCCCCCCCCCAGCCACAGCACCAATCAGCTGCTAATACTGCATTGTGCTGACATCACGAGGGCACCTCCAATCACAGAGCACCTCACAGGGTCATGGGACGGCCCTTCCTGAAGCTCCCACCAATCACCAGGCAGCTCTGAATCCGATTGGTGGGTGTAGGAAGCTGATCTCCATATGTGAGGGAGAGCAATGACTCTGCGTGGGGGACGTGCGAGAATCCCCATCCTACCCGAGGGAGGGTTCCCCGATCACCAGACAATCAAGGAGAGGGGGAGCTGGTTCCCTACAGCAACACCCAGAACACACGCAGCCCACGCTACCCGACCCGCAGCCCACGCTACCCGACCCGACCCGCAGCCCACGCTACCCGACCCGCAGCCCAAGCTACCCGACCCGCAGCCCACGCTACCCGACCCGCAGCCCAAGCTACCCGACCCGCAGCCATCCCACGCTACCCGACCCGCAGCCCACGCTACCCGACCCGCAGCCCAAGCTACCCGACCCGCAGCCCACGCTACCCGACCCGCAGCCCACGCTACACCCGACCCCGCAGCCCAAGCTACCCGACCCGCAGCCCAAGCTACCCGACCCGCAGCCCACGCTACCCGACCCGCAGCCCAAGCTACCCGACCCGCAGCCCACGCTACCCGACCCGCAGCCCAAGCTACCCGACCCGCAGCCCACGCTACCCGACCCGCAGCCCAAGCTACCCGACCCGCAGCCCAAGCTACCCGACCCGCAGCCCACGCTACCCCGACCCGCAGCCCAAGCTACCCGACCCGCAGCCCACGCTAAACCCGACCCGCAGCCCAAGCTATCCGACCCGCAGCCCAAGCTACCCGACCCGCAGCCCAAGCTACCCGACCCGCAGCCCAAGCTACCCGACCCGCAGCCCCACGCTACCCGACCCGCAGCCCCACGCTACCCGACCCGCAGCCCACGCTACCCGACCCGCAGCCCACGCTACCCGACCCGCAGCCCACGCTACCCGACCCGCAGCCAAGCTACCCGACCCGACAGCCCAAGCCTTAAACCCGACCCGCAGCCCCCCGCTACCGACCCGCAGCCCAAGCTACCCCCGGCTGTCACCCGACACCCAGCCCAAGCTACCCGACCCGCAGCCCAAGCTACCCGACCCAGCAGCCCAAGCTACCCGACCCGCAGCCCACGCTACCCGACCCCAGCAGCCCACGCTACCCGACCCGCAGCCCACGCTACCCGACCCGCAGCCAAGCTATCCGACCCGCAGCCCAAGCTACCCGACCCGCAGCCCAAGCTACCCGACCCGCAGCCCAAGCTACCCGACCCGCAGCCCACGCTACCCGACCCGCAATGCCCAAGCTACCCGACCCGCAGCCCCACGCTAAAGCACACCCGACCCCGCAGCCCACGCTACCCGACCCGCAGCCCACGCTAACCCGACCCGCAGCCCACGCTACCGACCCCCCGACCCCCGCACGCAGCCCACGCTACCCGACCCGCAGCCCAAGCCGACCCGACCCCGACCCCTACAGCCCACGCTACCCGACCCGCAGCCCACGCTACCCGACCGCCCGCAGCCCAAGCTACCCGACCCGCAGCCCAAGCTACCCGACCCGCAGCCCACGCTACCCGACCCGCAGCCCACGCTACCCGACCCCCAGCCCAAGCTACCCGACCCGCAGCCCACGCTACCCGACCCGCAGCCCACGCTACCCGGACCTACCCGACCCGCAGCCCAAGCTACCCGACCCGCAGCCCCGCACGCTACCCGACCCCGCGCCCGCAGCCCACGCTACCCCTGACCTGCAGCACACTCTTCACAACCCACAATGCAAGCTACCCGACCCGCAGCCCGCTACCGACCCGCAGTGCACTCCCTCACAACCCAAGCCACGCACCCACATAGGAGGAGGAGGAGATGCCAGAGGATACAGGACATCAGTATGACTGGAGGCAGGAGGAGGCCAACAACGGATTCTTACACAGCTCCCAGCACCCCACCCTGACCAATATGGGGGGCTGTCACCCTAAACAGACGTCTCACCACCAGGCAGTCCCGCAGGGACCCGTAGGTATCCCGAGTCTCCCTCTGACAGGAGATGTGGCCGTCTTTATCCCCGCAGATATTTCTGAATGTCTCCAGTGCCGTATCGCTCTGTACACACAAACAGCCATGTCTGCCGACAACAGCCGTGTCCCGGGATGTGGCTGTGACACGGAACCTGTGAGAGAATGACAGAAAGGAGAGACTGCGTGTTAGGACCCCCGCACTCTAATGTACACGCCGTTCCACTGACCCCCGCACTCTAATGTACACGCCATTCCCCTGACCCCCACACTCTAATGTACACGCCATTCCCCTGACCCCCACACTCTAATGTACACGCCATTTCCCCTGACCCCCACACTCTAATGTACACGCCATTCCCCTGACCCCCACTCTAATGTACACGCCATTCCCTTGACCCCCGCACTCTAATGTACACACCGTTCCCCTGACCCCCACACTCTAATGTACACGCCATTCCCCTGACCCCCACACTCTAATGTACACGCCATTTCCCTGACCCCCACACTCTAATGTACACGCCATTCCCCTGACCCCCACACTCTAATGTACACGCCATTCCCTGACCCCCACACTCTAAATGTACACGCCATTTCCCTTGACCCCCGCACTCTAATGTACACGCCGTTCCCCTGACCCCCGCACTCTAATGTACACGCCGTTCCCCTGACCCCCCGCACTCTAATGTACACGCCGTTCCCCTGACCCCCGCACTCTAATGTACACGCCGTTCCCCTGACCCCCGCACTCTAATGTACACAACATTCCCCTGACCCCCGCACTCTAATGTACACGCCGTTCCCCTGACCCCCGCACTCTAATGTACACGCCGTTCCCCTGACCCCCCCGCACTCTAATGTACACGCCGTTCCCCTGACCCCCGCACTCTAATGTACACGCCGTTCCCCCTGACCCCCGCACTCTAATGTACACGCCGTTCCCCTGACCCCCGCACTCTAATGTACACGCCGTTCCCCTGACCCCCGCACTCTAATGTACACGCCGTTCCCCTGACCCCCGCACTCTAATGTAAACGCCATTCCCCTGACCCCCGCACTCTAATGTACACAACATTCCCCTGACCCCCGCACTCTAATGTACACGCCGTTCCCCTGACCCCCGCACTCTAATGTACACGCCGTTCCCCTGACCCCCGCACTCTAATGTACACGCCGTTCCCCTGACCCCCGCACTCTAATGTACACGCCGTTCCCCTGACCCCCGCACTCTAATGTACACGCCGTTCCCCTGACCCCCGCACTCTAATGTAAACGCCATTCCCCTGACCCCCGCACTCTAATGTACACAACATTCCCCTGACCCCCGCACTCTAATGTACACGCCGTTCCCCTGACCCCCGCACTCTAATGTACACAACGTTCCCCTGACCCCCGCACTCTAATGTACACAACATTCCCCTGACCCCCGCACTCTAATGTACACAACATTCCCCCTGACCCCCGCACTCTAATGTACACAACATTCCCCTGACCCCCGCACTCTAATGTACACGCCGTTCCCCTGACCCCCGCACTCTAATGTACACGCCGTTCCCCTGACCCCCGCACTCTAATGTACACGCCGTTCCCCTGACCCCCGCACTCTAATGTACACAACATTCCCCTGACCCCCGCACTCTAATGTACACGCCGTTCCCCTGACCCCCGCACTCTAATGTACACGCCATTCCCCTGACCCCCGCACTCTAATGTACACGCCGTTCCCCTGACCCCCGCACTCTAATGTACACGCCGTTCCCCTGACCCCCGCACTCTAATGTACACGCCGTTCCCCTGACCCCCGCACTCTAATGTACACGCCGTTCCCCTGACCCCCGCACTCTAATGTACACGCCATTCCCCTGACCCCCGCACTCTAATGTACACGCCGTTCCCCTGACCACCCCGCACTCTAATGTACACAACATTCCCCTGACCCCCGCACTCTAATGTACACAACATTCCCCTGACCCCCGCACTCTAATGTACACGCCGTTCCCCTGACCCCCGCACTCTAATGTACACGCCGTTCCCCTGACCCCCGCACTCTAATGTACACGCCATTCCCCTGACCCCCGCACTCTAATGTACACGCCGTTCCCCTGACCCCCGCACTCTAATGTACACGCCGTTCCCCTGACCCCCGCAGCTGACCCCGTTCCCCTGACCCGCACTCTAATGTACATGCCGTTCCCCTGACCCCCGCACTCTAATGTAAACGCCATTCCCCTGACCCCCGCACTCTAATGTACACACCATTCCCCTGACCCCCGCACTCTAATGTACACGCCGTTCCCCTGACCCCCCGCACTCTAATGTACACGCCGTTCCCCTGACCCCCGCACTCTAATGTACACGCCGTTCCCCTGACCCCCGCACTCTAATGTACACGCCGTTCCCCTGACCCCCGCACTCTAATGTACACGCCGTTCCCCTGACCCCCGCACTCTAATGTACACGCCGTTCCCCTGACCCCGCACTCTAATGTACACGCCGTTCCCCTGACCCCCGCACTCTAATGTAAACGCCATTCCCCTGACCCCCGCACTCTAATGTACACAACATTCCCCTGACCCCCGCACTCTAATGTACACGCCGTTCCCCTGACCCCCCGCACTCTAATGTACACGCCGTTCCCCTGACCCCCGCACTCTAATGTAAACGCCATTCCCTGACCCCCCGCACTCTAATGTAAACGCCATTCCCCTGACCCCCGCACTCTAATGTACACGCCGTTCCCCTGACCCCCGCACTCTAATGTACACACGACGTTCCCCTGACCCCCGCACTCTAATGTACACGCCGTTCCCCTGACCCCCGCACTCTAATGTACACGCCGTTCCCCTGACCCCCGCACTCTAATGTACACGCCGTTCCCCCCCCTGACCCCCGCACTCTAATGTACACAACCATTCCCCTGACCCCCGCACTCTAATGTACACGCCGTTCCCCTGACCCCCGCACTCTAATGTACACGCCGTTCCCCTGACCCCCGCACTCTAATGTACACACCGTTCCCCTGACCCCCCGCACTCTAATGTACACGCCATTCCCCTGACCCCCGCACTCTAATGTACAAACGCCGTTCCCTGACCCCCCGCACTCTAATGTACACGCCATTCCCCTGACCCCCACACTCTAATGTACACGCCATTCCCCTGACCCCCGCACTCTAATGTACACGCCCATTCCCCTGACCCCCGCACTCTAATGTACACGCCATTCCCCTGACCCCCGCACTCTAATGTACACGCCGTTCCCACTGACCCCCACACTCTAATGTACACACCATTCCCCTGACCCCCGCACTCTAATGTACACGGCCGTTCCCCTGACCCCGCAATCTAATGTACACGCGCGTTCCCCTGACCCCCGCACTCTAATGTACACGCCGTTCCCCTGACCCCCGCACTCTAATGTACACGCCATTCCCCTGACCCCCGCACTCTAATGTACACAAACATTCCCTGACCCCCGCACTCTAATGTACACGCCGTTCCCCTGACCCCCGCACTCTAATGTACACGCCATTCCCCTGACCCCCGCACTCTAATGTACACAACATTCCCCATAGACCGGACACCCCACCAACCCCTTCCCCCGCATACACCCCCTACCCCATATACACACACACACATACACACTGACCTGTCAGCTTTCCCGTCCCTCTGATTGGCCGCCTCTGTCATGTGATTTCAGCTAACAACGTGGGTCTCCTCATGAATTCGCTGATTGGCTTGCCGGTACAGTCACGTGGCTTTCGGAAAATTCAAATGACGCGTCATCATCCAACGCCGGAAGTGAGTGGCGACATAACAGACATGTCACGTGATGCGGGGGATCGGCGGTTGCAAGGCAGGCGGCGGCTGCTGGTATAACCGGTCAGTGAGGGGGGTGAGGACTCCGGGGCGGGGGTTGGGACGCCAATGTGAGAAGTGTCTGATAGAAGCAGATACATATTCTGGCCTCCAACCCGGAAGTCTGGCAGCTAGACTACCAGATCTTCACACACAGGTGGTCCGCTTCACATTACAGCAGCTGAATGTACATAGAGAGAGGAGGAGGAGACTACAGAGAGGGGGGGGGGGGAGGGGGCTACAGAGAGGAGGAGGAGGAGGAGGACTATTGACAATACAGAGAGAGGGGGGGGCTACAGAGAGAGGGAGGGGACTACAGAGAGGAGGGGGGAGGAGGAGACTACAGAGAGAGGAAGGGGCTACAGCGAGAGAGAGGAGACTATAGAGAGGGGCTACAGAGAGGAGAGAGGAGGAGGGGGGGGCTACAGAGAGGGGCAGAGGGGGAGGGGCTACAGGAGGCAGGAGAGGGGGAGGGGGCTACAGAGAGGAGGAGGAGACTATAGAGAGGGGGCTACAGAGAGAGGGAGGGGCTACAGAGAGAGAGGACAGGAGGAGACTATAGAGAGGGGGCTAGAGAGAGGAGGGGACTACAGAGAGGGGAGGAAGACTATAGAGAGGGAGGGGCTACAGGAGGGGAGGAGACTATAGAGGGAGGGGGGACTAGAGAGAGGGAGGGGCTACAGAGAGGAGGAGGAGACAGATAGAGGGGGGAGGGGCTACTGAGGGGGGAGGGGCTTAGAGAGGAGACTATAGAGAGGGGGGCTACAGAGGGGGAGGGGCTACAGAGAGGCAAGAGGAGACTATAGAGAGGGGGAGGGGGGGCTACAGAGAGGAGGAGGAGACTATAGAGAGTGGGCTACAGAGAGCGAGGAGGAGGACTAAAGAGAGGGGGGAGGGGCTACAGAGATTAGACTAGAGAGGGGGAGGAGGCTACAGAGTGGAGGAGGAGACTATAGAGAGGGGGCTACAGAGAGGGAGGAGGAGACTAGAGAGGGGGAGGGGCTACAGAGAGGGGGGAGACTATAGACAGGAGGAAGGGCTACAGAGAGGGAGGAGGAGATCTAGAGAGGGGGGGGCTACAGGGAGGGAGGAGGAGACTATAGAGAGGGGGAGGGGCTACAGGAGGAGGAGACTAGAGAGGGGGAGGGGCTACACAGGAGGAGAGACTATAGAGGGGGAGGGGGCTACAGAGAGGGAGGAGGAGACTATATGGAAAGAGGAAGGGCTACAGAGAGGTGGAGGGGACTATAGAGTGGGGCTACAGAGAGAGGGAGGGGACTATAGAGAGGGAGGGGACTATAGAGAGGAGGGCTACAGAGAGAGGGAGGGGGCTACAGAGAGGAGGAGGAGACTATAGAGAGTGGGCTACAGAGAGTGAGGAGGAGACTAAAGAGAGGGGGAGGGGCTAGAGAGGGGGGAGGAGCTACAGAGTGGAGGAGGAGACTATAGAGAGGGGGCTACAGAGAGGGAGGAGGAGACTAGAGAGGGGGAGGGGCTACAGAGAGGGAGGAGACTATAGAGAGGAGGAAGGGCTACAGAGAGGGAGGAGGAGACTCTAGAGAGGGGGCTACAGAGAGGGGAAGGAGACTACAAAGATAGGGAGGGGAATACAGAGAGAGGGATGGAGCACTGTATGGAGAGGAGGAGGAGGCTACAGGGGGTGGAGCACTGTATGGAGAGGAGGAGGAGGCTACAGGGGGGTGGAGCACTGTATGGAGAGGAGGAGGAGGCTACAGGGGGGTGGAGCACTGTATGGAGAGGAGGAGGAGGCTAGGGGGGTGAGTACTGTATGGAGAGGAGGAGACTACAGGGGGTGGGGCACTGTATAGAGAGGAGGAGGCTACAGGGGGGTGGAGCACCATATGGAGAGAAGGAGGAGGCTACAGGGGGGTGGAGCACTGTATGTAGAGGAGGAGGAGACTACAGGGGGGTGGAGCACTGTATGGAGAGGAGGAGGAGGCTACAGGGGGGTGGAGCACTGTATGGAGAGGAGGAGGAGGCTACAGGGGGGTGGAGCACTGTATGGAGAGGAGGAGGAGGCTACAGGGGGGTGGTGGAGTACTGTATGGAGACCGTATGGAGGAGGACTACAGGGGGTGGGGCACTGTATAGAGAGGAGGAGGCTACAGGGGGGTGGAGCACCATATGGAGAGAAGGAGGAGGCTACAGGGGGGTGGACAGGGGGGAGGGGAGGAGCACAGGGTATGTAGAGAGGAGGAGGAGGCTACAGGGGGGTGGAGCACTGTATGGAGAGGAGG